CTCGCTCTCTCTCCCTCGCTCTCTCTCTCTCGCTCTCTCTCGCTCTCTCTCTCTCTCCCTCTCTCTCTCGCTCTCTCTCGCTCTCTCGCTCTCTCGCTCTCTCTCTCTCTCACACACACACACACAGAAACAGTACAATGCACAAGGGCTCTTTCTTCTTAGTGTACCCCTGCCAGACCCTTCTGAACACAAAGTTTTTGTCCCACGACACTCGCGACTGTGACTCAAGACTTGGCGGGCTGAAGAACACTCAGATCCAACCGTCCCCCAGCAGTGATCGTGGGATGTGCCCACCCGTTCATTTACGCCAGCAGACACGCACACACATACACTCATGTGCAAACTCAGTGTCTGTCTGTCTTCTCTAGTTTGACAGCAAAACAGAAGCAGAGACACACACCCACAAGCCACTACATTTAAGCCCGGTCAGACCTGGCTTTGGGGAATTTATAAGGTGACTTCCATCTTTGCTGTTTCACAAGTAAATTAAAAAAAAAAAAAAAAAAAGCCGAACATATACAAAGCCCTTCACCCCAACCTTTGGGACCGCTTTTTCCCAGTCCTGCTGCTGAACCTCCTGCTCCCCTGGGACACACGCTTCTCTTGATAACACACTCCAAGGGCTCCAGGCACCCAAGTCTGTATTGGGTGAGAAATCGGTTTTGGCTGACAGTGGTGGATAGCCTTCCAGAGGCTCAGGGCTTGTATTCAAGATCTTTGCTGATGTCCAAGTTCATCTCTCAGGGAGACCGAATTTGAATCACGTCTGCCTGAGCCCAGCTGTCAAATCTGCAATCCCATCACACCAAACAATGGGCTGCCATGGAGGACAGAACAGTAACCTTCATTTTGATCGAGGGGGGTTAATTGAAAAGGGCAGGAGCTTTGGTTGAAGTTTGAGCCCCGGGTGTAAGGGCAGGGAGAAGAGTAGGAGGGGTGGATAGTTGTCCATTCAACTACGCATCCCCCCGACGCTCCTCTCAGCTGTGGCGGCTGCCAGCATGTGTGCTGTGCATTGTTTGAAGCTGCCCAAGAGAGTGTGCGCCTCAGTGTGCCTCAGACTTCCTACCAACGCACGCACCCCCTTGGCTGCGCACATGATCCTCAGAGGCAGGAATGAAAAGACCGATGCCCTCATCAGACACCCTTCCTTACACACACACACACACACACACACACACACACACACACACACGACGCAGATTTCTAGTTCATTGTATCAGTTTACACTTGGCTGTTGAGTAAACAAAGCAAACATATGTCACATTTTCATGACAGATGGTTCAAACCAAAAGCCTACTTTTCTTTCTCTAGCAGTAGTAAGTCTAACTTACACAGAGTGGACTACTACTCAGAAATGTAATGAAGTCTTCCAATCAGTTTCTTTGCTTTAAAGAAGTTTATTCCCACATTCTCACACACAAGCCAGAACAATCTGGGAAGGTGGTTTTGCTGAGAGGAAGACTGAATTTAAGAAATTAAGAGTTTATTAGAAGAGGGTTTCATCACAGGCATGCAACACATAAAACCCTCTTTCACTGTTTTATTTTATAAGTGGAAGCGCATGTCTTCCTTTCAGATGTAGGTAATTGTGTGCAATTCTAGTTTTCAGTAGATGGACTGTAATGCATATCACTGTTGGCCACTTAAGATGGTTGGATGACAGAGATCTCCTTTAAAACACAATTCACATATTTCATAAGTTTTTGGCTTAGGAAAGACTCCATGTTACCCTGTATATCCCATAGACATCCTTTAAATCAAATTTTAATAGGGTGGAAGAAAGATGGACTAAAAGTTCTCCAGAAGTAAGATATGGGGCCTCTTTTAAAATAACTTCAAGAATATTTCAGACCCATTCACCAAACTAACCCTTAGTAAGTTCTTTCTTACTGATGATAAAAACAGAATTTGTTTTTAAAAATAATAACTGCAAACCACTAGCTGCTGTAACTATGTTATCCAATACAATAGTCATTAGCCATGTAGCTACTTCAGTGAAATTAAATACAAGCAAAATGTAGTTCCTCAGAACCACTAATCAATAGCCACATGTGGCTAATAACTACCATACTGGACAACATAGATGTAGAACATTTCCATCATCCTGGAAAGTTCTATGGACAGCACTAGTTTAATGTTGGTATGAAATTAGTTAATATGGCACGTATATAAAAATTCTTAGAGCCAGGCCTGGTGGCATACACCTGTAATCCCAGCACTCTGGAGGCTGAGGCAGGAG